GAGATGTGTTTGGAGAAGGAGGGCCGCTTAGATGTGATTGGAGAAGGGGAGACTGAGGACATGTGATTGGAGAAGGGGGGACTGAGGACATGTGCTTGGAGAAGGGGGGCTCCAGAGATGTGATTGGAGAAGGAGGGGCAGCTGCAGAGATGGGAAGGGACCATGATTTGAGAGGGCTGTGGAAAGGTGATGGGAGGTGCAGGAAATATGTGATGGAAGGAGTGCTGGAGTTGGGGGACAGGTGCAGGGGGGACCGTGGTGATGGGAGAGTCCATGGGGCATATGAAGATATTGGAAAGAACAGGGGGCATGAGAGAAATGGGGGAGAAAACAGGCATATCTCGTAAACCTACAGGGGTAGGTTATCATTAAAATAATAATTATTATTTGTAGCCTAATGTATAAAGTACTGTTGCAGCAATACACAATGGCACCCTCTATAGAGGACTACAAATCTCAGCAGTACTTTATACAGAAATGCCATTGTTATATAAAGTATTGCTGGGATGTGTAGTTCTCTATAGCCTGTGCCATTCTGCATTGCTGTAAATATTAGGGATGCACCGATATATCGGACGCCAAAACATATCGACCGAAAATTGCACTTTTGGCTAAACGCCGAAAGTGCCATTTTTCTGCCGATACAGCGGCGCATCCGTGCTTTCTTTCCTCCCCGCTGGGCGCTGCTCTGTGTCCCAGCAGGGTGGAGAGAAAGAGTGACAGCCGGCCGAGCGCTGTGGGAGAAGAGCGCTGTGTTTGTGGTTTTTTTTGGGGGCGGGGGCCAAAAAAAAAAACTTGCACCAGGGCCCTTTGTTCCTTAGGTCCGCCACTGCTCTCATTGGACTGTATATATGCGTATATCTACAAATAGAACCCTAACAGGCACACAACAGGGTTGAGAATTGACGCCAGCACGGATTCTATTCTGATCAGCAGTACCCCAAAGTTATAGCAGAAGCTGTACCGAAATAGACTCTGCATGGCATAAGGGGGTGGTGCTGGCAAAGTAGGCACATAGGAATGAATTACTGTTATTATAATGGTGCTTGGAGTTCAGCTTTAAAGCCCAGTTCCAGCTTGGGCAAAAAATATGGATCCCCCAGAGCTCGTAAAAATAAAAAAGCAGCTCTGGCTGCTATACTCACCTAATCTCTGAGACTAGCCCCCGCAGACCACCCATCCAGCGATGTGGTGCCATTCTTTTTTAGGGGTGAATGATGTCTAGTGTCATTTAATCTCCTTCTTGTGAACCCAGGGTGTCAAGGCTCCACTCCCTGTCCTGGACTCCCAGTAGAATGTGGCAAAGGTCTCTGCAGGAGTACAGTGTTGGACATTAATAACTGGATAGGTCCTCTTTGTTGGCTGAGTGTTTTGTATTGCATCACCAAATATTATTAATAGTTCTTTTGCATAAGCCAATTACTATTTTAAGCATACTGCCCACTTAAAGGAGACCTAAAATCACTGCTACATGAGTCAGTAGGATGAGTGTCAGGATTACCAAATCACATCATGTTTTTGAGTAAAAATGTTCCTCTTTTTTTTTTTGCATGCAATTGCTGTCCTGAGCAACTTTATGTGACTTGCAGCCTAAGCACAGATGACGATTGTCTCTGCGTGCTGCCAGGTGCAATGTGGTTGTTTCACATCCTTACAGACTGCAGAAAGTATGGCCTCCACTAGACCTCTGACGGTATGCTGTAGTATCTAGCACCAAGCCGTCAGTAGGAGATCCTTTAAGTCCTGTAAGTTATGAGGTGGGGCCTCCATGGATTGGACTTCGTCAATACCTCAAACCTGTTGTTGTGTTCCTCAAACCATTCTTGAACCATTTTTGCAGTGTGGCAGGGCGCATTATCCTGCTGAAAGAGGCCACTGCCATCAGGGAATACTGTTTCCATGAAGGGGTGTACTTGGTCAGCAGCAATGTTTAGGCCCCATTCACACTGAGCGACATGAAAATCGTGCGACTTTGAGCGATATTGCGCGACTTTGAGCGATATTGCGCTCCAAAAAAGGGTCATGTAGGAGCGACAAGCTACCAGCGACGAGCTACAAGCGATATTGAGCGATATTGAGCGATATTGAGCGACGAGATGTGAACAGCTACATTGAAATGTATTGGTGAAGCTACATAGAGCGATATCGCGTGGAAATATGAGCGATATCGCTGCAAAAATCGCGCGATAAATCGCTCAATGTGAACGGGGCCTTAGGTAGGTGGTACGTTTCAAAGTAACATCCACACTCCATATGCTTACTTATGCATGGAGACGGTGGCCATCTGTCGACTAAGGCCCCATTCACACTGAGCGACATGAAAATCGCGCGACTTTGAGCGATATTGAGCGACGTGTCGCGCGAAAATAGGGTCATGTAGGAGCGACAAGCTACCAGCGATGAGCTACAAGGCCCCGTTCACATATAGCGACATACCTTTGCAGCGGCCGGGATAGCGCGACTTTCGGCGCAACGTTCCAGCGACGATCCAGCGACGGTAGCGTGACCTTCTCCGCCGGGCTCCATAGAAAAAAAGCAAAATCGAGCAAAATCCGCCAAAAAAAGGGTCCGGTAGAAGCGACGCGCGACATGGAGTTAAGACAGCTCCATTGAATAGCATTGGCCGGCGACTGCTCGCGATATCGCGCGGCAAAAATGTGCGATATCGCGGCGGAAATCGCGCGACAAGTCGCTATATGTGAACGGGGCCCAAGCAATATTGAGCGACGAGATGTGAACAGCTCCATTGAAATGGATTGGAGAAGCTACATAGAGCGATATCGCGCGGAAATATGAGCGATATCGCTGCAAAAATCGCTCCATAAATCGCTCAGTGTGAATGGGGCCTAACATTGCACCCACCTAATCTTCATGTACCAGCGGTCAGGAGTGCGAGGGTATATGGACTGTGCACTGTGTGTTCAGACACCTTTCTATCAGAACCAGCCTCAACTTTTCCAGCAATTTGAGCTCCAGTAGCTCTTCTATTTGTTTGGACTACACAGGCTAGCCTTTGCTCCCTACATTTGTCAGTGAGTCTTAGCTGCCCATGACCCTGTCACTGGTTTACCAGTTTTCCTTCCTTGGACCACTTTTGGTAGGTCTTGACCACTACAGACCAGGAACATCCCACAAGGGCTGCAGTTTTGGAGTTGCTCTGACCCAGTCACAATTTGGCCCTTGTCAAAGTCAAATCCTTACACTTGTCCATCTTTCTGCTGCCAACACATCAACTTCTGGGACAAAATGTTCACTTGCTGCCTAATATATCCCCCCACCTCTGGGTGCCATGGTAACCAGATAATCAGTGTTATTCACTTCACTTGTCAGTGGTCATGTTATGGCTGATCGGTATATTGTGTCCATTCACACACGCCTTCTCATCGAGATGAAATGATCAGCACCCCGATTGTGTAATAATAAAATAGCTCCAACTGTATAAACACTATATTGCCAAAAGTATTGGGACGCCCCTCCAAATCATTGGATTTAGGTGTTCTGTAAAGTTTCCTTGCTACTAAATATTCCGCGGTCAACTATTAGTGGTATTATAACAAAGTGGAAGCAACTGGGAACAACAGCAACTCAGCCACGAAGTGATAGGCCATGTAAAATGACAGAGCGGGGTCAGCGCACTGTACTCTATACATGGAACAAAGGTTGGTGAAACATGAGAACAATTGAATAAAGTCATTTACATTTCATGATCTTTTTCATCACTAAAGGTCTTAAAGAGACTCTGTCACTTTGCTCAGCCACTGTGCTGTGAGCGTGCCAGTGAGCCCGCCCCCATTACAGCTCCGGGGGTGTCCTCGTTACAAGAGTACCTTTTGACTTTCCCCCAGAGTTCAGCTTTAGAGGTAGTCAGAGCCCTGAGTATGTATTCCGGTTGTTAGGTGGTGCCCTTTAATGTGGAAATGTACACTGTCAGGAGAGGAGAAAACCTTTACACAGCCAGATAGGGGAAGTGACAGCAGCCAGTGATTGGTGAGGAGACACATGACTAGACGAAAGTGAAAATAAGTTCACCCTCCGGCTTCCTGTTCTCTGTTCCTCCAGCAAGAGGCGTATAAGAAGCTCTCGGTCACAGGTCCCGTCTCTCATCTGTCAGTCTTTCCACTACCGGACGCAGCAGGCAGATAGGTGAAGTCAACGATCCCCTGAACCGCGACGCAACACTCGCCGCCGAGGTAAGACGGAGATTTCATTGTTCTATTTGTTTTATAAAAGACAACAGACATTCAGGTGAGGTCACAAAGGCAGCACACTAGAAGGATACTTGTTTTCAAAAAATTGACAGTTATGGATCGTTTTAAATGGCAGTTATATATTGATAAGACAATTATAGGATTAGAAAGTGACAGTTACAAGATTAAAAAAATAATAATTTCCCTTAAAGTTAAAGCTTTGTGACTTGAACCTATTGTAATCAGTTTTTACATTGGAGGCAACTCTCCACCCCCGCTTTGTCAGGTTTTCACTGCTTTTTGGGGCTCCAATCAGCTCATCATACATGTTACAATCTAATTGTACAATCTCCTTCAGACCTATGTAATACAAAGACCCGAGGTTAGGTAGGTCCTCGTATTCCAGAGTTTCGGTAAATCTGAAGTTGATTGTACACAGATTGTATGGTGACCCCTAGATGAATTCACTCTCAGTTTGGCCTGGTGAACATTGTCGCTGAGAAAGAAATTGAGGAGGGTCCAATGTGTTACAGTTGTGAGGGGACATCTTCAAATGGGGACACCTGTTTGGGTGATATGCCTAAGGGCCTATTCACCCCACATTCAGATAATCTCCAGACCAGACCAGATTGTTTCCGGACTCAAAATGCATCCTAATGTATCCCTATGCTATTTCTGGCCTCTGTTCACACCAGCGCAGTCCGTTCCAGACCAGACCAGAAACATACTGCATGTCTCATTTGTCTGGTCTGGAATGCACTGGGACTGTGGGCAGATTCACACCATTTTCTGGGCCAGATCTGGTCCGGAATATGGTGTGAACCTGCCCTAAAAGGGGATTCTTCCTCACTTTAGAGAGATTTCTTCTAACTTCCTGTTGTGTCTCCAGGACAGGAAGTGCAGGGGAATTTCTGCAATAGGACACTAACATCAAAAACAACGGATGAGGGTTATAACCATTCCTTCCCTTTTGCTCCTAGTGGCCATTGTCACTGAGAAAGAAAGTAAGGGGGTCCAATATATTACAGTTGTCACCAGAACAAAGGAGAGAGGAAATACCATCAGGTTGTTTTGCTGTCGGTGTCCTTTTGCAGAGATTTCCCTGCACTTTCTATGCATGAGACAAAACAGGAAATTGGAAGAAATCTCTCTATAGTGAAAGGAATTCTCCTCTTAAGCAGTTGGGAATTCCTTTCACTTTAGAGAGATTTCCTCCAACTTCCTGTCGTGACTCCTGGACAAGAAGTACAGGGAAATCTCGGCAATGGGGCACGGACAGCAAAAATACCTGATGGGAGTTATAAACATTTTCTCTCTATCGAAGCATAAAAAAATGTTTTGGTGGGGAAGGATCGGGACCCCTGTCAGGTTTTCACTAATATCCAGCCTCCTTGTTTGTCCTGGTGACCATTGTCACTGAGAAAGAAAGTGAGGGGAATCCAAAATGTTATGGTTGTCACCAGAACAAAGGGTGAGGGGAAGTCTTCCAGTGGGGACACCTGTTCGAGTGACAACTGTCTAAGAGGGGATTTCCCCTCACTTTAGAAATACTGCTTCTAACTTCCTGTTGTGTCTCCTGGACAGGAAGTGCAGGGAAATCTTTGCAACAGGACCCCGAGAGCCATTCCCTGTCTATCCAAACATAAAGAAGTTTTGGCTACAAAGGGGGGGGGGGGCCAGACAGGGCTCCATTAGACAGATTCGCCCTCTCTGTTTGTCCTGATGACAAGTGACACTGGAAAACAAAGTGAGCAGAATCCAAAATATTATAGTTGTCACCAAAACAGGAAGTGAGTGGAAATATTCTAATGGGAACAACTGTTCAGGGTTGCATGCATACCTTTGCCACTTACTGAGCCGTCTGTGAAATGTTGTTTACTTGAGGAAGTGAAGGAGAATATTCTTTAGATGGCTTCTAGTAGTTAATGATTAGCTTTGTTTATTATCTTACTCTTTTCCGTGCTGCCCTTCCCTTTCATCTCTATGTTTATATTCCTCCGAAAAACAATGGATCTTGTTACATTTTTAGGGGGCTGTAGGGAGCACACATGTGGAAGTATTGTATTGTAAAGGGATGTAATAGCCGTGATCTCTAACAGTCTCATGTAATGTGTTTGTAGTCTGTCAACCATCTCCTGTAGTATGTCTGTAGTCTCTGACCATCTCCTGTAGCATGTCTGCAGTCTATGACCATCTCCTGTAATATGTCTGCAGTCTCTGACCATCTCCTGTATCATGTCTGCAGTCTCTGAAAATCTCCTGTATCATGTCTGCAGTCTCTGACCATCTCCTGTATCATGTCTGCAGTCTCTGAAAATCTCCTGTATCATGTCTGCAGTCTCTGACCATCTCCTGTATTATGTCTGCAGTCTCTGACCATCTCCTATACTATGACTGCAGTCTCTGACCATCTCATGTAATATGTCTGCATTCTCTAGCCATCTCCTGTATCATATCTGCAGTCTTTGACCATCTCCTATACTATGCCTGCAGTCTCTAACCATCTCCTGTGACATGTCTCTTGTGTGTACGTGGGCATGCAGCAGAGCCTGATTGGCTCTTGGTTCTGCCCCTCCCAACAACTCCATTGTACAGGACACCAGTGGCATCACAAGGGGGTGCGGGGAGTGCGGCCTGCACCCGGGTGACACCCTTGCAGGGGTGACACCAAAATGACTGACAGTCATTTTGGTGTCACCCCCCTCTAAAAAGTCGCGCACTCGATCATGGACTGAGGGTCCGACAGTGTCAGGAGGGAACCTGGCAGCATACCTCATCCCGCCGGGTGAACGTCCCCTCCTCTCTCTGCTGCCGTCCATCAACAAGATGGCCGCTGGCAGGCATCAATCAGATGGCCGCGCATGCGCGAAGACGACACAGCGGGGTGTCACCCGGTCTAGAGATCAAGTGACACCCGGCCTCAGGGCAGCCATCAGAAATTTTGGGGCCCCTTACACGGCTTTAGGCCGGGCCCCCCGACGCGCTGGACGCAGGACCCACCCATACCACATACCATACCACAGCTACCTCATGTATCACTTCCCCCTCCTCTTAAGATAGTAAGCCCTCAGGGGCAGGGCCCTCCTTACCATCTTGTCTTGAATTGTATTGTAACTGTAATGTCTTCCTTATATTGTAAAGCGCTGCACAAACTGTTGGCGCTATATAAATCCTGTGTAATAATAATAATAATACCTGAGAGTGACCCTGCAGAGCCCACCTTAGATGCTGCACAGCCCATTTGATACTCTCTATGGTGGGCTCTTCAGGGCCTCAGGTGGGCTGGTCAGGGGTGTATCTCCCTCCCAGCTCCTCTTAGCTGCTCCTGGTGCCTGTACATCTGGCCTCCTCTGCCGCCGGATTGGCTGGAAGTGACGCGATGTCACTTCCAGACAGTCCGAGATCAGAAGAGCAGCGAGTCCGATGGGGCCCGGCCCCCTCCTCACCTGTCACCGTCGGCCAATACTCATGAAAGGGTCCCGGGTGGGCCCACCAGGCTGCCTGGGCCCCTTACATGAGTATCAGCCGTATCCCCCCTGATGGCGGCCCTGCCCGGCCTCGGGACGCCACTGCAGGAGACTACAAGAGGGTGATAGCTTTGGGGGAAGGACACAGGCTTCATTGAAAAGTGCAGTTGATTACAATGAATGATATTTCATTGAACAGACATCTGTATACATTGGAGTCTTCCTCCATCCGCCTGGCGGTCAGCTCTCAGTCATAGGTTTGTATAGGTGTCACGTGCAGTATCATTTCACATGTTCTGACTTCCATCTACAAACATCCTGAAAGCTACAACGACTGGAAACTTCTGGTAACTTTGTAACCAAACCCCATCTGTCACATAAACATCCTTCAAGGGGAACTCCAAAGGCTGCAACATGTCATCTTTATTGCTGTAAGCAAGAAAAATATGTCTTCTTTAAAGAAGAGCTCCTTTCATAAGAAACATTAACCCTTGCTGTGGGGCTTCCTCTGCACTGCAAGGATTAAAGTTAAGTCTTTTCCCCATAGTTCTCCTTAGGGTAACGGGAGGACACAAACTAGCGTCCTTCCGTCACCCTAGGCTCAGTATACTGCGAGCTGTAGTGGATCCCGACAATTGTGCCGGGATCTGCCCAGCTGCGTGACTGACAGCTGGCTCTGCCTATCTAAAGGCAGAGCCAGCTGTACCCGCCCCCTCCCCCGTCCGTTCTGCCAGTCAGCGCTGGCGGATCGGAGCAGGGAGGGGGGAATCCCCCCCTCCCCTGTCACGGCAGAGAGCCGTGACAGGATCGAGAGGTGAGCGAACGCCGGTATGTGTTCGCTCACCTCCCGATCTACTGAGCTGACCTGTGACAGTCTCATTGTCACAGGTCGGCTAGAACTATGAGGTGAGTGAAAAGCACTCACCTCATAGTTCTCCTTTAAGTGCTCATTTTGGTCTGGGGGGAAAAATAAAAAAAGATATACTCACCTGAACTTTGGAGCTGGGTGGCTGGCTGCTAGACCAGTCCCTGTAGCAGTGCCCCACCTGCATTCTAAGGGCTCATGCACACGATGGTCAATGGCCATATAATATACAATACGACTGTATTCTTTCCAGCAGGGGTGACAAGTGCAGCGTACAGCCGCCTCCAGGCAGCCTGTAGAAATGAATGGCAGACAGCGGCTGCATGCATATGCACACATATATGAACACATATGCACACGGTGCATATGGCCCTGTGCGCATGTAGAGGGTTGGAATCGTGCATATTTTCTTTTATATGCAAGTAGCTGCCCAGATTGGTGTATATTTCCATATATATATATATATATGTATATAAAAAAGATTTTCAGGTCAAATGTGATGTAATACTACCCTTTGGCCACTAGATGGAGCGGAAGAGCATAGGAAATAGGTCTTTATTTTGTGTGCTCATCAGCTCCATTAGTGGCCATAATGCTGTATTACATAACAATACATTCAACCTGATAAGAAAATATTTTAAGAATGTTTGTTTTTGCCTTTATTTACACAA